CCGGAGGTCCGTACTTAACCTGAAACTGTTCTTAACCTGAAGCACCTCCTGCTGCTGCCCTGCCGCCAGAGCATGATTTCTGTTCTCATCCTGAAGCAAAGTTCTTAACCTGAAGCACTATTTCTGGGTTAGTGGAGTCTGTAACCTGAAGCATATGTAACCCGAGGTACCACTGTACTTTTTGTAGGGCTACACATGAAACTGATTTCATCAAAGACAAACCATGGAGCAATAAACAGGCAGGGAGGTTGATCACCTAAAGTAACAAAAATCCACTAAACAAAGATTAGCTACAATTGGCACTTTTTAATGCCTTTCCGCTGGCTCTTCTAACTCCCTTGTTACTTTCACTATATTGTAAGTATTTATTCCTTGGACTTTGGTTGCTTTACATTAACTGATTCTCTACAGCTGGCTCTTAAGTCCAGAACAATGTTGAAACCAATCCTATGTTCTTGCTTCACAGCAACAGACAATCACAGAGCAAAGCTTATGACTTCCCATGATGGCATCATGGTGCACATATGAAAAAGTAACACTGGGGTAGCACCAACCATTGACACTACAGCATTGATTCTAGGGGGACGTCTCTGTGGTTCAGGAGCTTTAAAAAGGCATGGAGGCAAATTCATGCTAGTCTTGTCAATAGCCATTAGCAAGAATAGTTAAATGGAACCTCAGTATTCAGATAGGAAAACACGAGGGGAAGGCTATTGCATTTATGTTCCTAGAAGCATCTAACCTGACTAAGTATGGGGAACCTGTGGCCCTCCAGATGTTGTTGAGACTTCCGTCAGGCTCAGCCAGCATGGCCAATGGTCAGGGATGATGGAAGTTAGTTCAACAACATCTGGAGGGCCACAGGTTCTCCATCTCTGGACTAGTCACTGTGAGAAACAGGATATTGGATCAGATAGACATTTGATCTGATCTAAAAAGGCTCTTCTTCTGTCCTATGTGCGTTTGATTTTTGATCAGGTAGTGGGCAGGTAGAATAAGAAACATTTTGAACCCAATCATGAGAGCTGATAGCAGCCTCACAATCTTGGCACCAACACAAGTTGGTGCTAGTAAGGAAGTTCCCTGTGCACAAGTGTGTGTGTGTGTGTGTGTGTGTGTGTGTGTGTGTGTGCATGTACACACACAGAGACACTGACCAATGGGATACCAGCTGGGTGTATGTGTATGATAGTGATCACAAAAATGGCCTGTAGGAAAATTATAGAATTGTAGAGTTGGAAAGGACCCTGAGGATCATCTTCTACTCCAATCCGCTGCAATGCAGGGATCTCAACTAAAGCTATCCGATCTCTGCTTAAAAATCTCCAAGGAAGGAGAGTCCACCACCTTCCGAGGGAGTCCCTTCCAGAGTTCTTTCAGGACATTGTTAGTGCTGTGGCTGTGATCAAACTTCCACACACACACCCCAATCTGAATGATGAATTTCACTACAAACAAAGAAACATGAGATTGATAATTTCCATGGAGCTGAACGCTGGAGAATTCAGGGCAGACAAAAGAAAGTACTTCATCACTCAGTGCATAAACTGTGGAACTCACAACCACAGGAAGAACTGATGGCCACCAACTTGGATACTTTAAAAGTAGATTGGACAAGTTGTGGAGGTTAAGGCCTCCTTAATGGATAATTATTGATAAATGATTACTGTGCTCTGCCTTCATGGTCAGAGGCAGTAATGCTTCTGAATACCAGATACTGGAACCCGTGGAGGAGTGGGGGAGACTGCTCTTGTGCCTGGTTCTGCTCATGGGTTTCCCACAGGTGTCTGGGTGGCAAGTGTGGGAATAGTGATGCTGGACTAAATGGGTTACTTGCCTCCTCCAACAGGCTCCTCTTAGTTTCTTACCATCACAAATCTCCTAATGTCATGCGTAGTTTTAAGGAGAGGCAAGTGGGACAGAGCTGTCCACCTGCCCTGTTTGCCTGGCAAAGGATGGCACAGCTGCTTTAGCAACTGGGTGGAAGGAAATGTTTGGCTACAATGATGGGAGCTTTAAATAGGATTGAACTGCTTGTGCACTCTTCGCAGCACACAACTTGGCAGTACAGTGTTCATGAAGCTCCTCTGCTAAAGAAACACTCTCTAGGAGAGATGTATTTTCTCCATAGCATTCAAGTCAACCCTGAGCCACAAATAATAATAATAAGGGTTAACAGTGTCTTCAACTGTCTACTTCCTATTATGGAGGAGATTTTTTAATCATCCTGCATGCTCTAGTTAAACTCATTGTTTATGCAGATTCCTTTAAACTGGATGCTTACAAAGAATCGTGCTGCATACACAGTGTGCTTAACTTTATCTAGTGGGAAACCAAAGAAATAAAGAGAAACACTGCATAATTATTTGCAGGACTGGAGCTATAAAGGAGGCATGAACTATGCATACATGAAAGAGCCTGTGACTCACCAAGAGACAGCCAATCAGCCCCCAGTCCCAGGGGCTCAATGAACTTGTTGCTGCTTCCTGTGACTGAAAACACACAGGGGTTTTATCAAGCACCTGGCTGACAAGGATGGCTGGTGGGCTAGATTGAGTCTGGTGGGTCACAAGCCATGGAAGGCCCCATCCACAAGCAGCTATGTTTTCCGTTTGTCTCACTGGTTTTCAGCAGCTTTGCAGTTCAGAATACTTCCTGGGCGAGACTGAAAAATGAACTGTCAAGAATGACTGTTCATTGAAATACCACAGTTGTGTTGTTGTTGTTCTGGCCTTCGTTCAGCTCATCCTGGAGCAGAAAAACAGGCATGCATTCCCAGTTACATGCTCCAAGCCCCTAGGCTGGACCAAATAGGCTAGCAGTCTAAATACAAACAAATACAGAACCTGCACTTTAAAAGCCACATTTTTCTTGGTGCTAGTTTCATACACATTACATGTTTTAGTTTCCAAACAGAACAGCCAATGCAAAGAAAAACACATTTTATATATTTCAACACTCGAAATCAATTAACTATTGCCAACTTTATTGGCATGCACGAACACAGGGTCCAAGTTCAGTGGAAGAGGACATCCATTCTTTGCATGCAAAAGCCCAGCCTAGGAGGAATGACTGCTGCATGGAGCGCAGAGAGAAGAAACGCCATGGTGCATCTGCAGCAGCACAACCGAATGCCTTCTTCTGCCCCAGCTGCAACAAAGCATGTCTTTCCCCCATCAGTTTCTACAGCCACAGCAGGCGCTGCAACCTTCAAACAGTTTGACTTCACCTCCAGTTTCAAACAGTTTGACTTGCACACTCCTCTATTGTCTCCCGAGTCAGATAGATGCCAACCAATGCCTGGGTTCTCCAGGAAGGGCTGGGAAAGACTCCTGCCTGTACAGTCACTGCCAGTCAGTGATGACGATTTCAAGCTATAATACCTGTCCATCATGGGCACTGAAGATCTGTGGGGAGAATTGCTCCCTGTTGTCTCAAAACAAATTCAACAGAGACCAAGTGACTGAAAATGGTTTTTTAGATTTAACCCCTCTAAGTTGTCTGTTACATTTTGTAAGTTTTTCTGTTGTTGCTTTTAAACAGAAAAAAGCACGAGGTATTTCAACGCGGTATTGTGTCCCAAATTACAAACAGAATTTCGCAGGACTGCTGATGTTAATGTTAAAGATAAGCCTGTGCCCCTGAAAGCTCTTACAATCCCCCTTCCCTCGCAAGTAACTGAATTCTTTTGAGCCCCCACAACCACACGCTTGTGTAGTGAACACTTAATTCTGCAAAAGTGATCAGTCTGTGTGCAGTGGGGAGAGATCAAGCCACTTTTTCCAGCTCCATGGCAGACAGAAATAGAACAGGTTCCGCTTCTCTAAGCATGGAGGTTCAATTATGGGAATTACTTAACCTGTTGAATTTTTGCCTGCTATGCAATTATATTAAAAAAAACAAAAAACACAGGCAACCCCTGCACAGACTGGTAGCAACCCCTCCAAGACAAAATATTGCAACTTTTCAATTGTGTGAAGTCAACATTACTGTGACTCTGATTTTGTGAAGCAAATCACCACTGATAATAAACACATCTCCTTTCTCCAGCTTTTCTTGTTCAGTGGCCTATGCTACCCACGTCAAATTCCAGCCTCAAAGCAGCAGCAGCAGGAGGCATCCTATCAGAATATAGAATTGGGCAACTTGCAACTTGTGTGCTGCTGCTATGCACACAATATTATCTAATTTTATAAAATACATCAAGAATAATGAAGGTAGATCATTTATTTTACACCAGTTTTTATTCCTGCCCTAGCTTCCTGTCTGTTCTCAAATTTCTTCCTCTTGCTGTCAAACTCCTCCATGGCCTTGCTTTCCCTTCTCATTTTGCTGTTTTATCCCATTTATTTACCATTTTAGTGTGTATGAAAGTGACTTATATTTCATAACTCTTGGGGACATATTTGCGAGAGTGGAAGGCAACAAGATTCCCCTGACACAATCATAAGCATCCTTTTGGCACCAAGTTAAAACTCACCCCTTCTTTCAGGCATTTGATGGATCATTGCTATCTATTGACAGCATGTGTATGTTGCTGAATGTTTTGCTGCTGTTCTATTGTATTTGTTTTACAGCTTATTGTACGCCTTTTATTGTGATGCATTGTTCTTTCCTCGCTGAGCTTACGTTATGCTTTAAAAATTCTGAAGCCACTTGGAGACTCTTTATGTGTGAAGCACTAACTAATACAATGAAATAATATTAATAATAGAGGTAACAGTTAGCAGTAAAACACTGACACCTTGATGTTCCCTGCTGGGTTAGTGATTATCCCCTTTTGGAAGAGCTAACACGTAAAAGACGGTTGTATTAATTCTGCTGCATCTTACCATGCTCATTACTATTCTATAGGAGGGACAGTCCTCAGCTATTGACTCATAGATTTGCTAGTGACCCTTAAGTGGTTTTCATAACACATAAGTCCTGTTCCTGCCTCCCCACCCCCCAAATTGCACAAATACTCCCTTTCCCAACACTCAGTAAGATCAACAACTTACATCCATTGATTGTTCCCTCTGAAGAATTTTCTTGCTCTCCTTCTCACAATAATTGAGCATTGCCTCTCGATTGTATTTGCCACTTGGTTGCTTGTCAGTTTGGTCTCTCTGCCGCAACCCCACAGGAATGTTTGCATCTGTATCAGAGGCATCCAGTTCTTTTTCTAGCTCTTCCATCTCCTCAGCAGAGAGCGTAGACAATAAGTTGTCAATATCTGGATCCTCACTGACTTGACTTCGGAATCTTGCTACCCTAGACATTTTGGTAGCTTGCAGATGAAGCGCAGTATGTCTATATATTGAAAAGGGAAAGTGCCAAATTAATAGGCTTTCAGGGGAAACAGTCCAGCGAAGCCAGGTTCTTCTGAGAGAGCCAGTGTGGTGTAGTGGTTAAGAGCGGTAGTCTGCTAATCTGGGGAACCGGGTACGCGTCTCCGCTCCTCCACTTGCAGCTGCTGGGTGACCTTGGGCCAGTCACACTTCCTTGAAGTCTCTCAGCCCCACTCACCTCACAGAGTGTTTGTTGTGGGGGAGGAAGGGAAAGGAGAATGTTAGCCGCTTTGAGACTCCTTAAAGGGAGTGAAAGGCGGGATATCAAATCCAAACTCTTCTTCTTCTTCTTCTTCTTTCTCTTACTTTGGAGGTGTTGAGATGTTACATGAAAGCAGCTGTGACTTCCCCACAGCCTTGAGTATAATGGATATGCAGTTGAAGAACAGTTGGCCAATGAGAGTCAAAGCGGTGCGGCCTGGTTCAGATAGGCCAATCAGACATGGCAGGAGGCGGAGCTGGTGTCTATCAGAGGAGTTTGAAACCTGAGGACATTCCAGGGAATCTTCAAGTGCTGCATGACCAAATTTAGTCCTGCACATTTAGCTTTTTAAATGGGAAAGAAAACATGTAAAAAAGAAAAAGAAGAAGAAAAAATCCCCACCCCCAAACAAGAGATTAAACAAACGCTGCATGAAAAGTATCAGAACTGTTTGCAGGACACCCTCTACTTCACCATCACATTTATTCACAAAGTATTGTTGGCACTTAGCATCCTTTTAATTAAGTCAATTTGCAAGAGAATGTAGGAGATCCAGGACATGCTTGTGGCTTTCATTTTCACTAAATGTTTCCATTTTAAAAAGAATAACACATGCTCTGCTCTTTATAGTATATGAGCATCTGGGTCTTTCTTTGGAATGTTATGCAACACAATGTGCTTCTATGAACCAAACAAACAATTGGGGGAGGGCTATAATTCAGTAGAAGAGCCTCTGCTTTGCATGCAAGCATTTCCTCCTTCAATCTGGCATCTCTAGGTAGGGCTGGGTGGGACCTACCAGTAGGTCTAAAATCCTGGAGAGCTGCTGCCTGTCCATGGATGCTAAGCTAGGAGGACTGATGGATTCAGTATAAGGCAGTTTCCTCTGTAGAAAATGACAGCCATTTCTGTGCTATGTATGGTATGGCACACTTTCAAAGCACTGCAAAGCAGACACATACTCCACCCAAGCATGCAGATTAGGGGTGTAATATTAGATTACACATTTCTAGCTCATTGTCACTATGTGCATGTGAAAATACAGTCTTCCTTTGAACATGGTTTAATTCACATTGTCAAACGTATTTTGATATGGTTTTCTGATCTGGTGAGACGAAGAGCAAATTAAATGCTGCATCTCTTCTACCCTGCAGGTTGCCGGGTCTTAAGCTAACCTAAGGTGCCTATGCCTTTAAATCAGGGATGGGGAACTTGTGGCCCTCCTGATCTTGTTAAGACTGCAGGTCCCATCATCTCTGACCTTTGGCCATGCTGGGTGGGGTTGATAGAATTTGGAGTCCAACAACATCTGGATGGCCACAGGTTCCTCATACCCCATTTAAAAGCTTTTAGAGAGCTTCCTGTCCAATTTCTCCAGAGTTTCCTTTGCCTGTCTTCCTGTTTTGCCTGCTGCTGTGGGACAATACTGGAGTCCTACTTTGCTACTACAGCAAGCAAGAGGAGAGGGCGTACAATGAAGAAGGTGTGACAGTTGCATCTTCTCCTACTGCCTCAGAACACAGAAATGGTTTGGATGATCTGCAGTAGTGGTCAAGGGAGTGGGGCAGTGGCACTTACCTGACCTCCTGTCACAGGCATCAGTGAAGGATACCAGTAGGAAGAGGAGCAAGACAGTGGCAAGACTTGTGTGGTGCTGACACACCAGTAGAATCAGTCTGGAACCACTGGTGTGTTTCTATTGTACTGACCTTGCACTGCTTGGCCCCTTTCGCCACCAGTAAGCTTCAGTGATGCAGGAGATGGGAGGATAGGTTAACGCCACTGTCCTCCCCCACCAATCACAACTGCAGATCATCCATCCAATCTGTTTCTGCATTCTGAGGCTCTTGGGACCTGATAGCTGAATCTGGCTCATTACATTTGTTATTTAGATTTACAAAGGAATTATAAAATCATAGAACTGTAGAGTGGGAAGAGACCCCAGGGGTCATCTAGCTCAAGGCCCTGCAGTGCAAGAATCACAGGTAAAAGTCCCCTGTTTAAAAACCTCTAGTGAAGGGAAAGGTCCCCTTTCAGGAATGGGAAAATATTGTTACAGTCCATCTCAATCTCTGCCAAGAGGTGCAAAATTCCAGGGGTCTTGGCACTTAACCAGGGTTTGTGTTCATTTGGAATGAGGCACCAAGACTAGTGTTTTTAAGAAATATGGTTATTTTACTCATATTTACACCTGAAGCCTTCAATGGAGCAGGCACACAAAATTACACCCCAAGAGTGTCTCTCCTTGCTCCTCTCATAGTTTCAGCAAGCTTGGGTCCAAAGCAGCAGCCAGCTATAGTTCCTGACCTCTTGGTTCAGCCTCTCCCACCCAGTGCTCATGGAGTTCTGCTTACTTCTCCCTTCTGCTAAATTTGCTTTTGCAGTTTTCCAGTTTTCTGCAAATCTTTGCCATCAAAAGGCTAAGCTCCTGACCAGTGAAAAAGAAATTAACTAAATTCTCAGCACTCACTTTTAGATTGCTGCTCAATATTTTTGGTGTAGAACTTTGTGGTTTGCTTGCGCAGTTTTCTGGTTTTGTGCAAATCGGAGGAATAAAAAATAAAAATCCTCCATTCAGGAGCATACTGGAGATAGTTATGAGCAAAGCCAGAAAAGAAATGAAAGCACTGAGTGGGCACAGAAAGGGGAGTAGCAGAAAGTGACAACTAAACCACTAACTCAAAACACCAAAACAAATAGCCTGCAATCTGTAGTAGAACAGTTTAGAGCCTGATTTTTTCCCTCCTTATCAGATTATTCCTGTTTTGAGTAATCCTGAATTTTTAGGGGCAAAGCTGTCAACACTGGTGTTGCTTGAAGTAATGTCATGTAGGCTACACAAATTAAACGGAAAGGCAAACAGCTGCAAACACTCATTAAATTCCGGTGTGGACTAGCCCAGAAGCATTACAAACTATGTGCCCCATCTGCTGGCGGCTTTTGTTATTTTTTGTTTTTATTATTGTTATTTTATTTTTTCTTCTGAAAAAAGAAGCAAACAGAAACCCACTGGACCCCATCCACAGCTTTTTATGATCATTTGAGGATACCTGATTTGGCTCGAAAAGTATTTTTGTTTTTGTTTTGCTTTGTTTTAACATTGCTTTTTCACTCAACTGTTTCGTGAATTGCCAGGTAATTGCTCCTGTTTGTGCTTTTCTTCCCTCCCTCCCTCCTCCCGCACCGTCTCACTTTCTACACTAACCCGCCCCATGTATTTGGGCGCCAGATACTCAGGATAACTCTTCCTGCATCTGATGAAATAGGCTGTAATCCAGGAAGGTTTATGTCACAATAAATGCGTTATCCTTTCCGGTGCCAAAACACCATTTGTTGCTTTTTGTATATTTAAAGCGGCGCACGAAATGAACTCCCCATAAAAAACTGCCGACATTGACTCAGAGTTGTTCTGCCGCAGCATCTTTACCCTCGAAGACTTCTCTGCTTTTGCTTTGGAAGAGCGAGTGGGAAACCAAGGAAGAACACATCTATACTATTTCTAGTTCTATGGTGGAATTTCAAAAGAGCCTCCGCGTTATCCTCTCGCCCCCACTTTGCCGTCTCTTCAGGAGGCGCTCCTCGTTTGTAAACATAGAGATATAAATGTAGAGTCACGCTCTTTCGCAGACATAATTGGCACTCTTGCTCTCAAATGGAACTAGTGTCCCACTCTGAAAAGTACAGAAAGTTCCTCTCTTGGTGTACCACAAACGTGAGCGACACCACGCTTGCCAGAATCATGACCGTCCACCCCGCCCCGCCCGCGGCCTTCACCAAATGTTAACAGTACGTATCATTCTACAGTGTGTCGCTCTCTTTCTCCCCTTCTCCTCATTCCTATTGGCTCGGCTCCTGGAAGCCGGACGACCAATGGCCGTGGCTCAGAGGAGTCTCGCGGGGAAGCGGAGGTGCGGGGGCCCACGTGATTCGCATGCCGGCAGCCGGCTGAGCGAGCGCGTTAGGTACGGAAGCCGGGAGCCAAGATGGAGGAGTACGCGCGCGAGCCTTGGTGAGGAGCCGCATTTCCGCCTCCCGCTTCTCCCGGGAGAGACGAAGAGCGGGACGGAGGGGCGGCGGGTTTGGTCCTTAGCAGGCAGGGCTGGCAGACCCGCTTAGCCTCTCTTTCTTCGGTACCGGCGGCGGGCAAGTGACCTTGGGGAAGCCGCGAGTGGGTCAGCCGCTGCCGCCGCCGCCGCCTGACCGGTTGCAGGGGCTGGGGAAGCCTCTCTTGGCCGGGGCGGCGGGGAGCGCCTTGCTTCTGCCTTGGCCAGCTCCCTTGCGGGTGGATGAAGTACCCGATCCCAATGGATCCCAGAGACGCGGGATGGGCTGAAGCTCCCTGTACCTGGGCAAAATGGGCAGGTCCATTTTGTCCTTTGGCGGAACGCAATTGCAGAAAGGAGGGCGTCTTTTTGCTAAATTGGAAGCTCCTCGGAGTGCCCTTTTAATCTCCCATGTGGCAACTCGGGTTTATAACTGCCTATAAGAGAAGGTGCTCTGCAGGTCCATGGGGACAATACTGGCCAGTTTCTCGTGCGTCCTTCACCCATAATGTTTCCAATTTGCTGAGGCTTTGTAGGAAATTGCTGGACCGATACCACCAGTGCATTATGTGTATTCTTCAGCAACATGGTGCATGCTCAGGTTACACTTAAAAGCAGGTTGGTTTAAGAGATGCTGAGTGTACACTTTTGCTTTATAAGATTGAAAACACATTGTAGGACTATGCAAACAAAAAATATAATACTGCAGAACAGTGGGATCAGCGCACACCTTGCCAGCACTTTATGGATGAGGTTGCTAGATCCACTGTACATGGGTTGGGGTGGGGAGATGGCTTGCATTTGTAAATCATTCATGAGGAGCATGCAGCCTTTGGCCTAGTATTGGAGGGGAGAGTAGGAGAATGGAAGGGGGACAATTGAAGTGCTTGGAGCAATGTAAGAAGGGAAACCTCTGCAAGTCATCAGTTCTGACCTGTGTTATTGAATGGGGGGGACGGACCATAGTGGATGGAGAATTGGAGAGACACAGGGTGCGCAGACAGACATCACCTTCAAAGACCTTCCCTGGCACCCACAGGTTTCCCCCCTCTTGGAAAAAAATAGTCCTGAAATTATAGCCAACATAATACATGTGTCTGCTTCGTTGTGTGTGGTGCCCACAGCAGCTTCTCTAGTTTACAGATGAGTCCAAACTGGTTGTTGACCTCTGAAGTATAGTTTAAAGCTTAAGTGTTCCAGACCCAATAATTTTATGCAATGGCAAAAAACGGAGGAGAGATTTTGAGTGTATAGTTAATGGGAAATGGCTGTTATACTTTTACAATGTCATATGTCCTTCCTTCATTTATTTCCATTTATGAATAGCTTCCTATGAAACATAACAAAGCAATTAGCAATAATAGCATCAACATTTAAAACAGATACCAGACCCGGGGGGGGGGGGGAATCTCCACTTAAAAGGATTGTGGAAAAAGAAGAGTCTTCAGCAGGTGCCAAAAAGATAATAGAGACAGCGCCTGCCTGATATGTAATGGGAGGGTATTCTAAATGGTGGGTGCTGCCACACGAAATGGCCGATTATGACATTATGCAGAACAGATGCCTTGATGAGATGTAATCTGCAGTAGGCCCTCTCCTGCAGAGCACAGTGATCTCTTGAATATGTAAGAGGTGAGACAATCTTTTAGGTTTAGTGAATAAGGTAATAAAATAATAAAGTGACCCATTTGTTTCTTTTACTATGATGTGATGTTTGCGAGAATGAGCACATTAATGTATGTGATCTTTCATTTAGCCCTTGGAGAATAGTGGACGACTGCGGTGGCGCTTTCACAATGGGAGCCATTGGTGGTGGCATCTTTCAAGCTGTCAAAGGATTCAGAAATTCCCCAGTGGTGAGTTAAAATGATTTATTGTGGGTAAGGTTTATGATGATATTTTTTTTAGTGATAGTGAAAATTAATGCACTTATTTTTTTTAAATGGAGACAACTCTATCAAGGTCTATTTCAGGATGTGGCAGAATCAGGCATAGAAGGGCCTTCCATGAAAGAGAAAATTAGATGCTTAGAACCTCTTGAGCTTAGCTCAGAAGATGAAACCAATGTGCAAATAAAAGCAGGGTTTTTTTAAAAAACAACAACAACAACCCTATTTGCTGTGAGGTGCTATACAGAAACAATAAACTGACAAAACATGCAACTTGCAGCAAACAAAATATGAAGTGTGTTGTTTTCAGGCTAAATGCATCCTAAATTCAGTATGTGAAGAGCTTCAACTATTGAAATTGTTCCAATTTCATTCTTTTATCTGTTGCAGGGTGTAAATTATCGGTTGCGGGGTAGTTTGACAGCTATTAAAACCAGAGCACCACAGTTGGGAGGTAATTGCACTATTTACACAATCTTTTTCTATTCTGTTTTTAAAGGGATATTGGTAACAGTTCTCACTTCCCTTCCCTTAGTCTACCTTCAGTACATAATCGTTCTTAAATGAATGTGATGATGAAACATTTCTGTTCCAAGAGCACATGCGTATTGATTCATACAACTGGTTTCTTATGGACTATGTTGTTTTCTGCTTTCTATTTTCCCCCTCACTGCTTCCTCTTAACATTTCCCTTTTTTTGAACACAACCCATATCCAATACCAGTTTTTAGCTCTGTAAGCCTATCTTGGGCTTTAAAATAGCTTTCTCTCCAACTTTATGAGGTACTTAATAATATGTACTGTTGCACAGTCTGGAAAAGTCCGGATGAGACTTGTTCAGGCTTATGCTTCCATTTTTTTGAAATGAAACAATCTAATGTGCACAGGTAATTGTACGTAGAATCTATGGAAATCAGTGGCACCTGCACACATTTTAAGGATGTGTGCAGGATTGTGGCCCTGACCAAAATATTTACTTGGTGCTTTTCTGAAAATGAGCAGGGTGCCTTTTCTCAAGTTTGTTTGTTTGTTTTTAAAAATCAACTTCTCAGTGTAACTCATGCATGTCATGCTAAACTGTGGTTTAGTGCAACTTGCAAGCACAGCCAGCACCACGCATTTGCTCCTGTTCTCCTGCCACTGGGCAGGCAGCCAAATAAGACAATTGACTTGTTTCAACTGATTTTGTTTTGAAAGTGCCTGTTTTTTAACATACTAATTGCATTTTATTAATATTGCCAAACTGTTTGAGGACTTGCACAGAATATAGTGCTCCAGAGCTTTGAATTGTTGATGAGAAGCTACTGGTGGCAGCCAGTAGATTCAGTTGTAGAGTGCAGTGAATAGAGTCTGTTAGGAAAGGAGAATCTGGATAGTGAGAGACTTTATTGTTATTTCGGGATTTTTAGTTAACATGATAGGAATTATGGGACGCGGGTGGCGCTGTGGTGTAAACCACTTAGCCTTGGACTTGCCGGTCAGAAGGTTGGCAGTTCGAATCCCCACGGTGGGGTGAGCTCCCGTTGCTCGGTCCTAGCTCCTGCCAACCTAGCAGTTTGAAAGCACGTCAAAGTGCAAGTAGATAAATAGGTACCACTCCGACGGGAAGGTAAACGGTGTTTCCATGTGCTGCTCTGGTTTCGCCAGAAGCAGCTTAGTCATGGTGGCTATATGACCGCGAAAAACTGTCTATGGACAAACGTCGGCTCCCTTGGCCAGTAAAGTGAGATGAGCGCCGCAATCCCAGTCGTTTGTGACTGGGCTTAACTGTCAGGGGTCCTTTACCTTTTTAGGAATTATACTTATGAAGACATTTGTGTATTGTCAGCTTCCTGAATAATTATTGGCAGATTTTGTCATGAATTTGCCTTTGCTTCTGTTGTGGGCTTGAAGCGAAATATCTACAGTAACCATTGTCTTTGCTGGGAACATGAAACTAATATCCAGAAACCCAAATAAAGAAACTGCTGTTAACTACTGTTTTCACCAGTTCTGAACCCAGATATCTTTCCCCTTCAAATAGGTAGTTTTGCTGTGTGGGGTGGTCTCTTCTCCATGATTGACTGCAGTATGGTGAAAGCAAGAGGAAAAGAAGATCCTTGGAATTCCATCACTAGTGGTGCCTTAACCGGAGCTATTTTAGCTGCAAGAAGTAAGGACACCAGTTTGGAGTGAATGCTTATTGGAAATATTTCATTGAAAATATTTTAATGTCAGTTTTAAAAAATGTTAGACAGTCTTATGTGCACATATGTGCTTGACCATTCAGGGTTGTATTGTTTATAAAAGTAAGAATTTATAATGAACACAGGATTGCATCAATATTGCTAGGATAGGAACTTCGACAATTTTAGCATTGAGAGGGGAGAAAAATTGAGTTGTAAATTCACTCAAGAATAGAATCATTGAATGCCTTTTATTTGGTAAACAATCTGTACTGCTATTTCTTTCCTGTATTAGCTCAATTATTCTCCCAGCAAAGATGCACACATAACACATAGCTGACATTTCCAATAGTGTTTGTGAAATAATCTGGTGTACCATTATAAAATATGTTTAAAAGCAACCTTTTTCATATTCTACCTCTTTTCAGATGGGCCAGTTGCCATGGTTGGGTCTGCAGCTATGGGAGGAATTCTTCTCGCTTTAATTGAAGGAGCTGGTATCCTATTAACGAGGTTTGCATCTACACAGTTTCCAAATGGTAAGATGCCTATCACAGCTTGGGATGCAACACAAGATGTTAGTCATGATTCCTTGAGACTTTACACTGTTTAGCCATTTGACTTCTGTTTATTTGAGGGAAGGCTATTCTAAACTATATAAAGATCTTTAAACCAAATGGTTTGTTAGGGAAATTAAGATGGTATAATATTGAGGAATTTGGGAGACCAGGAGTGTGACAAGATGGGCTTTCTTATGGATTAATCCATAAGATTAATATCTTGATATCTTCACAGAATTGGGAAATGCAAACTGATATAAACCAACTATTAAGAATAGTTCTTGAACCATATATGGATTAATTTTCAGTGAGGTGGTTGCCTTTATGCAGCATTTCACACCATTAAACTTTTAATGATTTACACTAAAGCTTGGATTATCAACAGAAATGGTCAGAAAGAAAAACGTTTCAGGTTTTATCCTAGGCTTTCATGAGGATACAGTGGGATAAGTGGTTGTGCTTACAATTGACGGGAAGATGCCCACAATGCCATATGCAGTGCCTATGAAAATCAGTAATGGGATCTGTTTAGCCAAAGCAGCAAAGATGCTTTGGAAAGATATGCATGACGAATAGCCTAAATTGCCCAAGTATGCAGATTTACCCAGGAGTAGTCCAGTTGATTTCATTGAGTCTTACCTGCTGCATCAGGACTGTGAATGTTTCCTTGGCAACTTGCGAATGTCCATGTGCATTTAACTTCCCACTGAAATATACAGCTTGTAGCTGAAAGTGCACTATTTCTCCACTAACCTCCTGCACTATATCCCCTTGACTGTAATTCCCACCTTCAGAATCCTTACTATAAGCTAATAGGGCATATGTGAGCAACCAGTAAGTTGCATTTACCCCTCCTGCTGTGTGGCCTGCCAGTTCCCCGTTGCTACCATTACTGCCATACTTGCTGCTGCTGCTGCTGCTGCTGCAGCCAAGCTCAACATAAAAGGACTTCTGCTTGCTTGCCCTCCCACTCAGAAGTTTTAGGGGTGGTTTTCCTCCACTTCATTGCTGCACTAAACTCATATTTGATCCTACTGCCCCTGTCTGATCTTCCTTCTTCCTGTTTCCAGCCATAGAGCCTGTGCTGTAGATCCTCTAGGTACTTTGTGGGCTCTATGGCCTGGCTTCCTTTCCGTCAGCTCCAGTGTTATTTTACAGAGCTAATCCATGCCCCTTATCATACTCGAAATCTATTGCACAGCACTGGGTATGAAACAGATTAACCTGTGTTTGCAGTTTATGTTTGGTCTAGTAGGTACTTAAAACAAGTGTATAGAGTAAGTTACAAATGCTTGATCTGAAGACATGCCCACTGTTAACATGCTGCAGAGCATTGCATACTTAATGTTTGTTTTGTGTTTCAAATGCAGGCCCTCAGTTTACAGAAGACCCATCTCAGTTGCAGACCTCTCCATTTGGGGACTATAGGCAGTATCAATGATTTTGTGTGTCCTCCTGTTTTGTGCGGTACAACAAATTGTCATCCTTTATGAACGAGCAAAATGCAGCGTTATTTGAAGACTTTTCGTTGGATGTGTGCACCTTGGTTTTCTGTACTTTTCACAATATTTAAAAGATAATTATGAATAGTAGGATTCTATTATTGCAAAGTGGACATGAGGTGCTTGAAAAACTCTCTAATTAAGCCTTGTGGTAAGAGGATCAAGCAATGTATTACAGAAAGAAAGGAACCTGTGGCCTTTACAGTGTAGCATTTATCACACTGGTGCCAATTTTAAGGAAAAGAACAGTCATACTGCAATAGAGCTGCCTAGCCCAAGATCTGATGTCTTCCACAAGAGTGGACTAGTATCAGGGCAAATGAGGCTGTCTGCTTTCAGTTGTATACTAGACAATTGGAATTAGGGACAGAAGTGAATAGGGAGTATTTATTTTCTTCCTCCTCCTTACTATCTTTAATGCACAGACAGGTGTGAGAGGTGGTAATTATTTTTCTTAATACAGTGGTCCAACATAAGCACTCAAAGGGATATATTCATAGCAGAACTACTGAAGATAGTTCATAAAAACTCTACCATTTCTTTGCAGAGTACCTAAGGACTTCAGTTTGCTTTCTCCAGAGTTGTCCTGGGCTACAGGACACTCACGTTTGAATGGCCATTTTGCATCCTTTACAATTAGATCTTGTATGTAATCCACATATTAATGTAAGAGTGGAATGTTGATCATTTTATGGTGTAATTTGCACGTTGTAGGGTCTACTTCTCAAACGAGAGAAGTATTCAGAGTAAATCTATTACCCCCAAAACGTATTCAACACTTGCACAGCCTGAATATCTCTTTAACACTTTGAATGGACTTTCCACATCCAAATATGAATTGACAATATATTACATCCACAGTCTTCTTAACTGGATCAATGATGATTACTTTTGCCTAAATTAAAATCTGTTTGCAGGTGTCTATAAATGTGGAAAATTGAACAATCTGAAATACTCCTGCTATTCCAGTCATTCAGCATTGTTCAGTGTTCCTCGTTACTGACCGTGCTTTTCCATTAAATGTGGTTATTTATAAATGTCATTTGTCTTTGACCTAATTATGTGAATGAAGAACTTGAACGTACAAGGTGAAAGGCTTCAGAAGCCAAGTCAATTAGAGGTTTGTTTTGGCTCTCAGCAAGTGCAGAGATACAAATTTGGGGGCTGGGGAGGGAATTGGCATCACCCCCCCCACACACACTTTGTGGCTCCAGCGTTGGGAGGAAACCTTGTGTGGATCTCATTCACCAGCCTTCCCTTTGGCATGGCAAGAGGGGCAAGCAATATTGTCATATTCTCGTCCCAGATATGTCTATGTGCCTTCCAGATAAACTAGTCTTTGGAAAGGGAATGGTAAAAACGATAAGAGCGGATTTCTAAAGAGACAACACAGATCAGGCAAGAGCAATCCATATAGGCCCATAACTAGCCCCAAATCTACAGAATAGCTATGCAATGGATTGCCTGCACCTGAGAAAATCGCGCAGTTGTTCCATAGTGTTGAAAATGTTGGCTTTTATGAGCTCTGGAGAAAACAGAACAGGGAAAACAAGGGAGAGGGATGTTTTTGAGCACAATGTCATGCTAATGCCTCATAGAAGTGAGTGAACAAAGTGTGGCTAATCCACAGAAAATGGCTGATGTGGGAGCAAGTGGCACGAGTTTGGCCTAGAGCACTAATGGCCAACATGATGTCCTCAATACATTATTGGACTATCCCTCCCAATTACAACTTCCCTAAGTGAGAGTAAGCTCCTGAAGGAACACTGGACACTTACAGCATGTTGGAATATTTGGTTTATTCACAAAAACATAGATGTAGTAGAACATAGATGGATACAAGCACCACTGCATTCATAGTCCACTGTCCCACATCAGATCCCCAGAGAGAGGCACACTGCACCTCAAAATACTCCTAGGTTCTTTGCTAATTCTCTGCCTCTTTCTCTTTGCTCAGTTGGTTGAGCATGATTCTCTTAATCTCAGAGTTGTTCAAGCCCCACATTGGGCAAAAGATTCCTGCATTGTAGCGGTTGAATCAGATGACCCTCCTGGTCCCTTCCAACTCTACAATTTTATGATTCTGTGAAACGGTTTGAAACAGAGAGACCTTCCATTAGCCCAGGGAGGGGGCTTTTGCATTCCAGAGTTGATATCTGCTCAACCATCATAGATACAAATAGCAAAGATCACTGGGTGTGGTTCCATATGTGCACAAGAGAGGTAGCAGCAGGTTTTGGGTATGCAGAAGTGCAAACAACTTTGTGTACGGGGAGTTCCAAAATGGTGCCCAAAGGCCACACAATGCTGAGTGGTGTTTGAGGAGAATGGGAATGGAAATCTGGAAGGGGGGATGGAATGGAGCACCCTAGAATAGGGCAGGATTGGCTGGTTGGCATTGAGCAGGAACACTTAAACTTTTTGTTTCAGGTCCCATGCATTCTAAAAATCTAGCAGTCATTCTGTGCCATTAGCATATATTCTTCCAAAGGAAAGTCTCCTGGTTACCAAGAGTTTTTTTAGATATACGAGACTGAAGTATGTCCTTTGTGGGAAGGGGTTTCTCAGATTTACAGTACAATGACATAGATTTAAGGTACATTGACATACTATTCCATGTTGATCAAAACTGGTAGTGGCTTAGTTCAGGACTGCATTTTGAGCACTAGTCGAGCAGATGAATTAAAAGGCAGACAATATGATAAAAGTAAAAAAGTTAAATCTAGTTACCCCACTGAACAATAGAGCCTATCTGGCTAAATAATGGGAAATCTCAAATACAGCAAGGATAACACAGGTGAACAAACATGGCTGTTTAGGGGAAACATCTTTAGAGACAGAATTTTTGCAAAAATGTGCTTCAAGTCATTTTGATGAGAAGTACGATACCACTCACTGCTACTGTCTTTCTTGTTGCACTGTCATTTGTAGGGGCGCTGTGCTACGTTTATGACCCTAGTACCTGTGAGGTTCAGGTGGCAGAATCAGAATAATCTTTATTTGCTTCAGCCGCTAGCCATAGCAATAAAGTAAAGACAATGTACTGAAGATAGAGGTAGAAACTTAACTATACAAAATACATTCTGGAGGTTTGCATCAATAGTCAAATAATAGATCTTATTCTGTTTGCCCATGGTAAAAACTTGGCAGTTTTTGCTGTCACCTGATTATCTTGATCTGCTAGAAGAAAGGACACAATAGCAATGATTGAGCGACCTGGTATGGATAGTAGTAACCTCACTCCTAAAATCTTTATAAAGAGTGCAAGCTAGAAGCACATGAGCTACTGACTCAATACTGCCATCTCCATATGGGCATAAGTGTCTTTCCACTCACTGAGAGAAGTGAGGTTACAGGGAACCAGGCAGAGGGCCTTTTCGGTAGTGACATCACCCTGTGGAACGCCCTCCCTTCAGATGTCAAAGAGATAAACAACTACATGACTTTCAGAAGACATCTGAAGGTAACATCTGTTTCAGGAAGTTTTTGATGCTTGATGTTTCATTGTGTTTTTTATATTGGAAGCCACCCAGCGTGGCTGCAGCAACCCAGTGACATGGGTGGGGTATAAGTAATATATTATTATTATTATTATTATTATTATTATTATTATTATTATTATTATTATCATCATCTGAGTTTGCATTCTTGGTCATAATAAGCTGCTATGGTAGTTACAAATCTTTGCATTCACCAATAATGCAGTATTTTCAACTGCACCCAAAGAGTGATATTCTCTCCTTAAGTTCTCTGTGTCACCAGATTGGCACAGCCTGTGCCCATCTTCATATTCATGATCCCATTGACATTCCCTTTTTTAAAAAAATGTGTAGCCGCACATAGAAATGTTAACATAACTGGAGGATGAAACAGAGAAACTACCTCACAGGACTTTTCTTGGCTTACTGCCACCCATAGCTACTCACCCTGGGAAGGAAGTGAGCTGTGATTTTGCAATCACATCTGTGCATTAGGGAGGCAAAAGAGTGGAGGAAGGACACTGTCCACCAGTTCTCTAGCTCTAGTACTGTCCATCATGTTGGCTGCCACCTGAACATCTAAGTTCCTAAGGCAAAAAAATCTTTGTTCCATCCTGTGTTCCAAATGCTTCTTTGCGCTTGGAGGCTAATCTCCCGTCTGTTGAATTACAGATTTGGTGTAGGATGTTTAATTACTGGCTTCGGCTAAATTAAAACCCCACCAGTCTACCACCCTTAGTATCACAAGATTGTCATGAGAGCGCTTGAACTAAAATTGTCATCCAGTTCAGGGACCAGCCTTTGTCCAGATGCTTATGCTGCTTATGATCAGCCATTCACTCTGAGTCGTAGTCACTGTTATGCGCACACACTCGGGGGCAGAGGCAGTCCTGCCCTCCAGGCCTTGCTTGTCAAAGCTTCCATGCTCAAAGTGTCCAATTGGGGTGTAGCTAGTACAGCGCAAGCCACCCCGGCCCTTCTGGGTGCCCAACTCCACAATCCCCGCCTGGAGATAGTCTCCTGGGCGCTGTTTGGAGCCTGTGAGGATCTGGATGCGGAAGATTTGGGTAGCTTGCTTAAAAACAATTGTGAATGAATTGCCAGCAGAGGGGTCCTTGCCCCAGAAGTAGTCTTCCATGTTGCTGTAAGCCTTGCTGGGAAGGTAATTCTCAAACGTCTTAATATCTGTAATCATATCTGCAGGGGGGTTGTCGGGGTGTGTGGAGAGGTCCTCTTCAAAGTCTTCATCTTTCAGCTTGTTTACTGTGCCCTGGAAGGAAGAGTAGTGGCCAATGTGCTGAAAGAGGGACGGCTTGAAACGGATCGCGTCCTTCTGGGTAAGAAGAAGGCGGAAATGCACGAAAAGCCAGTCGCAGGGCATCTCTTGGTAAAAGAGCAGAAGGAACTGAGCGAGACGGGGCAGGTCGCTGGAGTGGTAAAGCTTGCCAATGTAGCCAAGCTTGGAGAACTCCAGGGTGACCCAAGGGGATCCTTCCCGAGATGCCACAGACTTCCTGATGGCCGTGGAGAAGGACTTGGAACAACGGACGTCATCCTCAATCATGAGAAAGTAGGTGGAGAGGTTGGCTGCAAAGTTCATGAGGTAGGCGTAATCCACATTCTGCTTCGATCTGAATCGCACACGGTCTTCGGCATCGTTGAAATTCCGTTTCAGGCCTTCCAAGGGAGGGTAGTATTCAGAAGGAGCATGGATGACTAGCAGGCGGCCCAGCAGGACTTGCGGAGCAAACCTCTTGGCAATTTTCTCCAGTGCTTGAGAATTCCACTCCTGGTCTAGATCAGCTAAGTGGACCACCACCACCATCTCTCTCAGCTCTTCACGCGTTGATTGTTGAAAGATAGACTGCAGGGTTTCCAGAAGGTAGTTCTCTCGCTTCCGCTTGACAGAACACAGCCCCACAGTCAGAAACTCTGAAATCAGGAGCCAAAGGGGAGACACCTCATGAATGCAAAACAGGCTGGCAGCAGATTATAACAGGCATATTGTTTCCAATCAATAGGAAAAGCAGTTCCTTGTATCTACACAAATCCGCAAGAACATCGCTAAATCAAAGTGGCTGGCAGTAAATTCAAGACAGACAAACGAAAGTGCTTTTTCCCTGAAGTAGGCTTCTTTCAAAGCATGCATTTGTGAATCCAGGATTTTATTCTGGAAAAATCTCTAGCTAATGTCAGACCAACATTTAGCAAAACTGTTGTTTAGGGTTGCAAAATAGAAAAGGCTAGGCACAGTGTTGTTACTGTTTGATGCAGAGTTATTCAGTTTTTGCTAAAATGTCATCTCAGGACATTTCTGACCATAATTTTTTGCTGAAGTTGACAAAACACACTTGGAATATATGAAGAATTCTAGGTCAGTTTAGGATATTAAAAATAAACTTGACCATTAAAGGGTTGCATGTCTGTGGGGATAATTTTTCCCACCCTGTTAGCTTTATGAGTTTGAATTTCAAACTCTGCCCACTCAACATGCGCCTGGATTAGGCCAACAAATGACCTGCTCTACATCTTCAACTGGCTTTTATGTAACTCATCTGGAGATAGATTCCTCTGTTAATTTCAGAATGTTCTGAAATCCCATTTAGATAGGTCCTGGCTAACATAGACAAGCTTGTTGCACAAGTCCTATTCACTAGCAGCGAAAAAGTGATTTTGTGCACTTTTGACCCATAAGATGGTTGTGTTGTACCAAAGGTGAACGGCTCTGGAAGCTGTGCTTACATCATCTTGGCACTCATGATAGGCCTACAATTAATTGGTAGTTGCTGTGGCTTTGAGCTCATATATGTTTACACATGCCTGCTTTGATATCCTAATTGGTTTGCTTTGATGGAACCCTTATCAGTGGGAACTGGGATGTTGGGCTCAGAGCCCAAAAGAAGAACTACCTATCATGTTTTGAGTATTGGCTATCTGCAACTTGGTCAGGTGGCTGACACAGACTGCCCTGCTGTATAAATACTGTATATAGCTTTGCTTGGGTGTGGACAAGCTGTCTCCTTGCTGTAGAGTCTGTCCCACAGAAGGCTTTGAGCCAGGGCAAGGGGAACCAGCAGGCTGCTTTGCTGTAAGCCCATACCTATCTTCAGTAAAGCGTCAGAACTCTGCACTCTGGTGGTTAAGACTCTTCTTGGAACTCCTGCTTCTCATGAACCCCCATACGCTTTCCTCCAGCTCGGGGTCTGCGGCTTGGGTTCACAATGACATTGTTGAGTGCCAATGGGATTTTAAAAATCAGAATGTTTTAGGAAACATGACAATTACAAGTTTTGAAACCAGGTTGCCTGGAAGATCTGGGCAATCTGAGCAAAAGTGAAAAGAATGTGATATACTCCTTTGCTCTCTTAAAAAAAAACCCTGTGAATTTTACCTGTGGTACAGCAGCACGAATGTTTCTGTACCTGTCCCAGCATCCAATCAGAAAACATAGGAAAAATCACCCCCAAATGAAGTGACAGCAAAGCACAGGTGAGCATAAGGCTGAGAGGATGGCCCAGGCTTGTTCTGCTATCATTTCCATTTTCTGAGAAGGGAGGTGAGGGACCATCATGCAGGGCATAGGTTGCCTTGAATGTGCTTGCACACAAAGAGGACATGAAGGTGTTGTTGTTTGTGCCCATGCACACCTGACTACTTTTGGTGCATTGCAAGCCAGAGATCCTCCCACACCGAGGCAGTGGGAGAAGATATAGCTGCAGTGCCTCATACCCCTTTCCACTGCCTCTCCCTCCATTTCCTTCCCCACATCTGTGGTACTATAGGAACCCAGTGGCCTCCTGGATACAGTGGACAAGGAAGGCAAGTGAGCAAAAATATGGTTTTTGGATGGGAAGGAAGATTTTCCATTGTCTGAGCCACTATGCCTCTGAATACCAATTGCTGTGAATTGCAGGTGGGCAGAGTGCTGATACACCCATGTTCAATTTACAGGTCAGCCACTGTGAGAACAGGATGATGTTCTAGATGGGAACAGGCCTGATCCATCAGGCTTGCCTTCCGTTCTTATGAGATGCATCAACCACATCCTCACCTGTTGCCTTGGAAAATGAGCAAATGGACAGAAGGGGCAATTGCCCCTTTCCTTCTTTCCCTGATAGCAAGCACAATAGTTGAGGAAAGCTATGCGTTCCTGTACACTGTAAGCTTCCAGCTCTATTTCCCCACTGGGTGGCAGTGTAAGGCTAGAAATGGACAGAAAACCCAACTTTTACCCATCCAGGTAAAGAAGGAAGCAGCCACAAGGGGCTCTCTTCTGTCTCAGATTTACAACCTTGCTGGCAGAAAGTAAGGAGGAATTAAAGAACCTTTTAATGAGGGTGAAAGAAGAGAGCACAAAATATGTTCTGAAGCTCAACATCAAAAAAACGAAGATCATGGCCACTGGTCCCATCACCTCCTGGCAAATAGAAGGAGAAGAAATGGAGGCAGTGAGAGATTTTACTTTCTTGGGTTCCATGATCACTGCAGATGGTGACAGCAGTCACGAAATTAAAAGACGCCTGCTTCTTGGGAGAAAGCAATGACAAGCCTAGACAGCATCTTAAAAAGCAGAGACATCACCTTGCTGACAAAGGTCCGCATAGTTAAAGCTATGGTTTTCCCAGTAGTGATGTATGGAAGTGAGAGCTGGACCATAAAGAAGTCTGATCGCCAGAGAATTGATGCTTTTGAATTATGGTGCTGGAGGAGACTCTTGAGAGTCCCATGGACTGCAAGAAGATCAAACCTATCCATACTGAAGGAAATCAGCCCTGAGTGCTCACTGGAAGGACAGATCCTGAAGCTGAGGCTCCAATACTTTGGCCACCTCATGAGAAGAGAAGACTCCCTGGAAAAGACCTTAATCTTGGGAAAGATGGAGGGCACAAGGAGAAGGGGACGACAGAGGACGAGATGGTTGGACAGTGTTCTCGAAGCTACTAACATGAGTTTGACCAAATTGCGGGAGGCAGTGGAAGACAGAAGTGCCTGGCGTGCTCTGGTCCATGGGGTCACGAAGAGTCGGACATGACTAAACAACTAAACAGCAACAAAGGCAAACTAAGGCCCAATTGCCTTCTAAATCTGGCCTGCAGAAGGTCCAGGAATCAGCGTGTTTTTACATGAGTAGAATGTGTACTTTTATTTAAAATGCATCTCTGGGTTATTTGTGGGGCATAGAAATTGGTTCATATTTCCCCCCCCCCAAAATATAGTCTGGCCCCCCACAAGGTCTGAGGGACGGTGGACCAGCCTCCTGCTTAAAAAGTTTGCTGACCCTTGCCCTAGAATTAAAGGCAGAAACATGGTTCCACTGCAGAAGTCTGAGCTTAGCAAAAGATGAGATCCTAGTAGTGAGCCCACAAAGGCACCCCACATTCCCAGTTCTCTCTGATCACATCCGCACCGTAAATTTAAAGCACTCTCATGGAACTTTAGCTGTCATGACTTCCTCCAAAGACTCCTGGGAGCTGTGGTCTGTTAAGGGCACTGACCACAAAGACCTGCAGTTCCCAGGATTCTTTGGGTGAGAGCTATGACTGTTAAAGTGGTACAAGAATACATAAAAGGCATGGTGCCGATGTGACAGATCTGTGCATGCACAGTCCACATTCTCTTGCGACAGCCTGAAATGCAAATTTCTTCTATGCAAACATGGACTTCTGAAATGGACCCATTGCCTGCTTTGCACCTTCTAATTTTGATCTGCCCTTTGGGAGGTGTGCTGTACTCACTTTTCTGGGGTGGGGGGATGCCAGCAAGATAGCGATAAGAGATGTTCGGGAAGTTGGTGGCATTCCCTAGCTTTTGGAGGCTACGTTGGTTCCAGTCAGTGTGCAATTGCTGTAGCCCCACATCTTGGGCCCACTGTCGTACTTCCCTCTGTGAAAAAACAAGGACAACAACGCTTAGAAGAAAGTATATGTTCCAGAGCACATCTGTGGACCAACACAATGGGCTCTACATCTCTAGATACGGAGACAACAAGCAAGGTAGGTTCTTGGCAACTCCCAACGTTACCACCATCACTGCTCAAAACAGGGTAGCTGAGTGCCTATCAGTTTGGAAGCAGAAAGGGGATGGCTAATAATAATAATAATAATAATAATAATAATAATTTATTTATACCCTGCCCTTCTGGCTGGGCTTCTCCGGCCACTCTTAGCGGCTTCCAAGAAAATATTAAGCTTCCCTAAACAGGGCTGCCTTCGGATGTCTTCTAAAAGTCTGATTGTTGTTCTCTTTGACATCTGGTGGGAGGGCGTTCCACAGGGCAGGTGCCACTACTGAGAAGGCCCTTTACCTGGCTCCCTGTAACTTGGCTTCTCGCAGTGAGGGAACCACCAGAAGGCCCTTGGCGCTGGACCTCAGTGTCCAGGTAGAACAATGGGGGTGGAGACGCTCCTTCAGGTATACTGGACTGAGGCCATTTAGGGCTTTAAAGGTCAGCACCAACACTTTGATTTGTGCTTGGAAATGTACTGGGAGCCAATGTAGGTTTTTCAAGACTGGAGTTATGTGGTCTCAGCAGCAGCACCCAGTCACCAGTCTGGCTGCTGCATTCTGGATTAGCATTCTGGATTAACTTCTGGGTCACCTTCAAAGGTAGCCCCACATAAAGCACATTGCAGTAGTCCCTATTGCCCAACCTCCAGAACATGCACTCAGAGAACTGGATCTTCCCAATAGGACACCTGGTGCAAACTAATGACTTTCTAAAAATCACTGCAACCCCCCCACCCCGCCCACAAGGCCTGGGTTGCTGTGCGTAAGAGAAACCTGATGGACAAGCAGCAGCTAGGACAGGCCCATCTGCTTCATCCAACCAAGTCTCTGTTACACATGCCAGGTCAAGTCCTCCATCCACGATCAAGTCATGGATCACAATGGTTTTATGGATCATTGACCTGTCATTGCACAGCAGCACCTTCAGGTCGTGTGGGTATCCCTTGCTGATTTCAGTAACCGTCCGGTCAAGACCAGACCTGGAGGCAGGGATAGTCCTCAAACAACGACTAAGCCTGCCTCCTCGGTAATGACGTGGTCTGGTCTTAGCGTAACTCCTCCTCCTACCCGTGATCACTGAGATCGGTTGTCCCAGTGCATCCCCCCCTGTGGAACCTGCCCCAGCCATTTTGTTGGCTGGGACCCACTCCCAGGCATCCCTGACCCCTCCCCTTAAAATCAAATTAAAACCTATACAACAACAACAAAACAATAAAACAATAAAAACCTAAAACAGTAAAAGATACAAACACACCAAAATTAAACAAATTCCCACACCCGACTAAACATCCATCCCACCCCGAGGCCTCCTTGGAGCCTTATAAGCTGTGGTGGTGAGTATGGGACCTGCCCCCAGGTCCACGGTGGAAAATGGGCTTCATACTCAAGGGACTCCCAAGGTATGTGGAATGATGAGTTTGTAGAATCATGGAATTGCAGAGAGGGACCTGCCTTAAATGTATGGTGTGTATGCAGCCAGCATAAACGCCTGTTGTTGTTGTTGTTGTTGTTGTGTGTAAGCATACTTGCTTCCTAGCCACAGCTACATGAAAACCCCAGGTTTCTCCATTATCTGTAATGAACAGCTGATTATGTGTGCCTATCAATGACATAAACCACCAAGGGAAGTCGACACACATAATAATGCTGGGTGTTAATTTTCAGAGGGGTAGGAAGAAAATGGGTAGCAGAGGGAATGGTTTGTTTGAGCTGCTTGCAGCTGAGAAAGAATGCTGGAGGAGAGGTTGTTGGGTACAAGCCTTCCCTGCAATATGTTGTGGCATGTTTCAGGAGGGAGAAAAGAAGAAAATGACACCTTTTGCCTTTCCTAGTCTTTAGAGCCAGTCACACTCCACCCGCTGCTATTTAGCAATACAATGTGAAGTTTAGGGTTGGCAGCCTCCCCCTCCCCCACTGCCTGTCCGCTGCAACCTGAGTCCTCTAGAGCAGTGTTTCCCAACCTTGGGCCTCCAGCTGTTTTTGGACTACAACTCCCATCATCCCTAGCTAGCAAGACCAGTGGTCAGGGATGATGGGAATTGTAGTTCAAAAACAGCTGGAGGCCCAAGGTTGGGAAACACTGCTCTAGAGGACTCTACATAACACAGGTGGATGTAGGAGTCTCTTCTACCTTTCAAAACCTCCCCCTGTCCCAAGAGGTCTGAGCAGCCCTGAACAAGAGTACTTTTCTTAGGGGGTGGGGATTCACCACAATGTATTTTTGTAGGAATCACTTGGAAGAATTAGAATGAGGAATCAGAACCCAAGATATATATGGTGATTTGATGCCTGTCACGTTCAATCCATGTTCCTGCTATCAAGTGAGAGAATAGGTGCAAGACCAGTTTCTGAGGAAAAGAGGAAGAAGATCCTACATCTGATTTCAGGGTACCATTACAAAGGCTTAACATTTTCAGTCCCACCAGTTATTATTAATTGTTTATCCCCAATGAAGCACCTTTTGGCTTTTCTGCCTCAGTAGCTGTGTCCACAGCTATCTTTGACCCCCTCTCCCCAATGAAGGACGTGTCACCAGTTAAATGTAAGAATCTGGATCCCCACCCCCCTGCAAAAAAAGATGGAGGTGGGGGTGAGGAGTCAGGTCCCTATGTTCCCTGAAGAAATTTTGCAGAAATGTCTCGACAGAATCCCTGGCTTCTAGCCAAACAGCAGAACAACAGGATGGGAGTAGCAAGGACTGTTGGGTATCAGTTTCCTTTTTTTCTGCCCAGAACATGTGGTTTATGCTATACTCACCGTCTCAGAATCCTCTTGGGTCCAAGGAGACAGACTTACGAGGAGCAGGAACACAAGCAGGGAAATAGCTGCTGCAAGTGAACGCCTTAAGAAGAACCGCATGGCAACTGGAACCCTGGATATGAGGGCTCCTTCCCAGAGGCTGGCAACTCCACAGGCCCTGGGTCCTCACGCTGTTACCTGGGGGGTGGGTGGTAATGAAGATCTGAGTAGAAAGGCTGAGATCTGTATTCTTTTCTTCTAATAATAATAATAATAATAATAAATAATAATAATAATAATAACACCTGTGTGCAGTGAAATTAAACAAGCCCCCCCCATACACTCAGTGTTGTTCACGCTCTGTGTGCTTGTCGGAAGTCAATTACACCACTATTTTTTCTCTCCATTCAGCAGCCCAACAGCCCGAACTGTTCTTTAACCTGTTGGTGCGGCTGACTATACTTCTGTATCTCCTGCTCGAAGGTAGAAGATTAAAGACGTGCTGGCCAGGGTGTGAATCGTCCCTAAGAATTTTCCTCGCTCTCCTGAGGCCACGATGTCATCTAGCGAACTCTGAGGACAGCCCATGATGTCATGTGCTGTATTCACCACCCTCCATAGGGACTTCCTGTCCGTGGCGATCAAACCAGCATACCACACTGTTATACAGTATGAAAGGACACTTTCTATTGTGGCCCAGTAGAAGGAGATCATCATTTTTTGTTTGACAATGTTCTTTTGCAAGACCCTGAAGAAATGGAGTCTCTGTTGGGCCTTCCTAACCACCTGGGTTGTATTGATTTTCCAAGTGAGGTCTTCACTAAAGTAAACTCCCAGGAATTTAAAGGAACAGACTCTCTCCACACAGACACCCCTGATATACAACGGGCTAGTTCCTCTCTCTTCCTCCAAAAGTCCAACACCATCTCCTTTGTCTTGCTGATATTTAGGTGCAAGTTCTTCTCTAGCCACCATGTGGAGACTTTTTGAACCTGCTCCCTATACGCTGATTCATCTCTACCTGTAATTAGACCCATTATGGTTATATCATCTGCAAACTTAATAAATGCAGTGGATGGATCAGATAAAATGCAGAATTTCACATTGCCATATATAGTAACCCTGAAACAACGTAAGTTTAAGGTTCTTTTACCCAACTCTCTTTATAAATATCTACCTGAACTAGTATGTGGCTGACACTGGGAAACCCCCTGTAAAGAAAGTAAACAGAAGGGAATGAAAGCAAAATAGGTTAGACCACAAACGAAGTATATGGTAGAATATTTTCATTTGTTTTATTTTTTCTATAAATTGATAATCTGCTCATTTATAAATATGTAACAAGGCAGAGTACAAAATATCAAGATAATGTCAACAAAATACTAATAAAACAGCCATAAAACATCCAAAAATATCAATTAATTCTGATTGGCCTAATATCTGCACCTCACCTTTTAAAGTGATGCTAGAGAGGTTTAAGATTGTAACTCTACACTCCCTTTCAAGTCGGGAGGAAGTCCCACTGAATTCAACGATTCTGCTTCAAAGTAAAAAAAGCACAGGGCAGGGCTGCACATCTGCCCACAATACTATTCCCTGTGCAGCCAACAGTCACACAAGGCAAGCTCTCCTTTCTTTAATAAGATCTCCCAGCCCGAAAGCAAAATCAGTGCTGCTCTTACCCAGCCACTTCCTGCTCAGTGCATTTGGCAATCAGACGTTAGTGTTTCCATTTAGCACCAAAATGAGATGCAAACTAGCATAGCCCAAGCACTACTCAGCCTACCTTTTCACAGACCTTTGTCCCGTCCCAGCAGGGCAGAGTGCACCTCTCTATTTCTTCATCCAGTGGGTTCCTTTCATGGGTGTGGCTGAGCAGGTGGCTGGAAGTGACAGCAGCAAAAGAAGGAACCTGAAAGTCATGTTCCATTGAGAAGTGATGTATTGTGAAGGACCCCAGTCTTCAAAGTCTCCCAGATAGGTTGGCTATAGAGAAAGGCATCATCCTAGCCAAGGGAGGGACAAGTGCTTTCCAGCAAAGCACAGGATTCAGAATGGTCTTCCAAGAGCCGAGTGATGCAACCAGACTTCCACAACCATCCTTTCCACTGGCAGCTGGCAAGGACCCAGGTATTTTCAAGATTCTCTCATCATTTGCTCTCTTCTCCACATCAGGTGGCTCTTTGCCCCAGTCTTAGGCAGATAATACGAGGGGAAATGCCTGCAGAGAAAGCAAATGTTTGTCTCAGAAACATTATACACCTATAGAGCTCTCTCCATATATTATTTATACTACGGAGTCAGCACAGCTAATGCTCTTTCCACTTAGCTTTTATTGCTTAACCACTTCCCGGCAGTTTCAGCAGAGACTATCCATGACAAATCAGTGAATAGATGTGTGGTCAGAAGCTTCCCCATTGGCCCAAGGCAGAGCCAGTCAATAAGGCCTTTGTTGTACATTGAAGAAAGGAAAGCAAATACAGAAAGAATTGGAGGAAGCAACTCTCAAGACACTGAAACCCAGAGCAGGATAAACATCTGCAGCCTGCACTTGTGTATTTAGAAGAACACGATCTTATGCATACCTACTCAGAAGAAGTAAGCCCCACTGAATTGTGTGAGATTCTGGCCAATCCAGTTTATTGAGCACTCATTCTGATTCATTTGCAGGGATATTAAACAAGCAAGTTGTGGCAAGCAAGTGCTGTCCTACACTTCCTTGTGCATTGCTTCCCTGTTTGCAAAAAGTCTGATTCTGGGTGGGTGTGGAAAGCAGGCTTGTTGTGCAAGAACACCAAATCAACATCAATTGTGCAACGTGAATTTGCAGTTGAATCCCAACAGAAAATAGCAACTGTCTGAAAGTGTCCTTACTCCCAGGTGAGTGGGCATAAAATTCCATCCTCCATAAATATGGACAAAACCGACTGGAAGACATAACTGTAGGATAGGAATGGTTTGCCTTGTGGGTGAGTTATTGCAACAGGAATGGAGAGATGGTCCCTTCTGCAACATGCAGCTTGCAGGTCACTTAAAGAGCTATCAAAACTCCAAAGGCAATGAGGTAGTGAGATCTGAGCTGAGCGATCAGATCTCTGGGAATTTTGTTAGGTGCGTTGTCCATACCTATTCAGCAGGTATTGAGGAACATGGGTTACAAACTAGGTCTGTGTAAACACCATACATTTAAAGTGTGCACACACCCAATAATTCTGGGACATGTAGCTTGTTAAGGATGCTGGGACTTGTAGCTTTGTGAGGGGTAAGCTACATTTCCTAGGACTCCCAGGGAGGGAGGGTGTGCTTTAAATGTACACAGATAGCTCTCAAGCCATATTTTTGAACCACTGACAGATTCTTCCAGGGAAAAGATGAAAAGACACTGATCACCTGTACCCCCAATTTCCAGTAGAAAAAAATCCCAAAGTGGAGCAAAGGTTGCAGCATTTGGGACCTTTATATAAAGGGTGAGAAAGAGATGACAGGATATAATATTATAAAATTATGCGTGACATGAAGAAAGTGGATAAAGAAAAATTCATACGGGCAGAGGCAATCCTTGAGATATTGCAGTCCTGAGCCATTTAAAGCTTCATAGGTCAGTCATGCTGGCCACATGCCACAAATGCCGGCTCCCTCGGCCTGTAAAGCGAGATGAGTGCCACAACCCTGGAGTCATTCGCAACTGGACTTAACTGTCAGGGGTACCTTTACCTTTACTAGGCCAAAACCAGCACTTTGAATTGGGCTGGGAGACTGATTAGCAGCCAGTGCAGTCAGACCAGGATTGTCTTGCCCTAGTGAGCAAGCTGGCCACTGAATTCTGCACCAGGTGAAGTTTTTGAACCATGGGCATAGGTGGGGGAGAGGAAGCTTCCCCCCTAAAATCAAATCAATAAAAAAAATACTTTACTAACTGACCAATAGAGTTGCAGATAGCTTGGTTCTGCTCCCTCCCCGTAAATCCTGGCTACGCCCATGTTCTGAACCATCTTCAGAAGTAGCCCCAAGTAAAACACATTGCAATAATCTAACACAGAGGTTACAAGAGTGTAGACAACAGGCTATCCCTATCCAGATAGGGGCACAGCTGGACCACTAGCTGAAGCTGATGGAAGGCACTCCATGCCAGCAAAGCTACTTGAACCTCAAGTGACAGCAATGGATCCAGTGGCACCTCCATGCTACTCCTTCAGAGGGAAACCTCAAAGTTAGATAACTGTGATGCGTTATATGTAGGGCTGCCTCTGAAGATGGTTCGGAAACTTCAGCTGGTGCAGAATTCAGCGACCAGGTTGCTCACTGGAGCAAGATGGTCTGAGCACATTACACCAATCCTGGTCCAACTGCAGTGGCTACCGATTAGTTTCCAGGCCCAATTCAAAGTGCTGGTTTTGACCTATAAAGCCTTAAATGGCTCAGGACCACAATACCTCAAGGACCACCTCTTTCCATATGAACCTACCTGGAGCCTGAGATCATCTTCTGAGGCCCTCCTTCGTGTGCCGTCTCCTCGAGAGGTCTGGAGGGGGGCAACACAAGAACAGGCCTTCTCTGCAGTGACTCCGTGTCTGTGGAATGCTCTCCCCAGAGAAGTTCACCTGGTGCCTTCACTATACACCTTTTGGCCCCAGGCAATAATGTTCCTTTTTAACCAGGCCTTTGGTTGACCTGATCAACATCCCATACCCTTTTAAATGTGGCTCTTTTTTTGGGGGGGGGTATTATTGGGTTATTGCTTTTATTTTAATTTTATATACTGTGATCCTTTTAGGTGAACCTCCCTGAGACCTCTGGGTATAGGGCGGTATATAAATCATCATCATCATCTGAGCTTCAGTTTGCTGGCTCTCATCCAGTCCGTTACTGAGGCAAGACAACAGTCCAGCACATCCACTAGCCACACTTGCAGATGTAAAGGAGAAGTAGAGCTGTGTGTCATCAGCATATTGCTGACCAGATACTCCAAAACTCTGGATAATCTCACTCTGTGGTTTCATGTTGATGTTAAACAGCATGAGGGATAAAATCAAACCCTGAGGAACCCCACACTGAAAGCTCCACAGGGCTGAAGAGAATCCTCCTCTGGAAACGGCAATCTAAGCAGGACCGGAACCACCACAAAGGGAGCTGGCCACTTTTTGTAATATTTATATAGCGGCAGGTGAGTGGGTGAATAGGACTCAATTCACCTGTCCAGCACTTGTTTACTCTTTCTCTTATTTATCCATCCCCTTCTCTCGCCGTTTTTGTTCAATCAAACATCTGTTTCTGCTTCCTCCGGACTCCACTTCTTCCTGAGTGATTAGCCCAGCCTGAGCCACCCACTGACTGACTGCCTGTGCTGTCCCCAGGACTCCTGCTACCATCCTCCTCTGTGGAGGCAGCCATGCTCTGCGTGTGCTGGGAGGAAGCCCTTTTGCTCACAGCAGGGTTGAAAAGGTGGGGGAGCACATCCGAAAGCAACGATTTAAAGAGACCGCAGTTGCTACTTTCCTGGCCTGCCCTCAAGACCACAAAAAATATGGGGAAGGAGATCCTTCACCGAGAGACAAATGATAAGCTGGTCTAAAGCAAGAAGAAACTGCTTCTCCCCACACTTGCATTTCCAAAATTAATACTGCGTATATTGTTTAAAAAAAAACAGCATATATGTGTATATGAAATTTAGCATAGAAATACTAACATTGTGCAAGGAATAAATCATTTTAAAACTCCAAATCACTCCTAGATCCCCTCCTATAAAATTACTTCAATGGGTTGCCTAATTCTCTTCCATGTGGGCAGCTGCCACTCTGATTTATGCAAGCTGGGGGGTTCAGGCTAGGCTAATGGGGGCCAGGGACAGGGTCTGCTGTAAATGAACTTTAGATATATGGTGTGTATTTAAAGCCCCATCCCAGAGAATCCTGGGAACTATAGTACACCACCCACAGAGCTACAATTCCCAGCATCCTTAACTACAATTCCCAGGATTCTTTGGGGGTGCTTTAAATCAACGGTGTGTGTAGACTCTGGACATAATAGGAGGAGACTCTTTAGATGCTGTGTTTTGTTTTTCTTAAACGGTCTTCACCCCCCCCCCATGGTAATGTGTATATGTGTATTACATCACTTTCTTCAAAGTGTGATGAGCCAGTCTGCTGTGTACCTTGTTTTGAGGACCCTCCTACGCATTCTGCGGAGTGAGGCCCCTGGGCCTCTGCCACAAAGCCATGGCACTCCTACTGCCTCTTGCATTCTGATCTGACACCTCTCCTGAGCGCCAAAGGCAGCTCTTTTCTCATATGCTCTGTGCAATTTCATGGTTATCCAAAGTGCATTTCCAGGGAAGGATCCCTCCCTCCCCGCCTCCAGAGATTCCTTTACAAAATGTTTGGGAACAAATACAGTTCTTGTTATCTCACCGGAAAGAAGAAGCGGCAGCATGGAAAGCAAACGTGGGCTTGTTGAGAATGTGAGTCACAACTTCCATTCTTGAGATGAATGAGTGAAAGCGAGGGAATCAGAAATGTCATGAGCGGTAGTAGGGCCCTGTAGCATAATGAGTAAACTCTACTTATTCTTTCAATCTGCTTACGCTGGGAATCTGCTCTAAAGCAGATTCTTGTTCTGGGTTGAGATTTCTATTCCAGCTGACAAGCATTCTTTGTAACTCCAAGGGCTGCACAATTTTCCACCAGAATTTGTTTTGGGACAGAGGTAACAAAGCTTTCTAGATCAAACCCATTCTCGTGGACTAGTTTTATAGCTCACTAGTCTTTTTTCTTTTACAATGCTTTGGGGAAAGGCTGCAGCTCAGTTGCACAGCACAGCTAGGCTTGCAGATGGTACCAGGTCCAGTCCAGACTAAAAAGACCACAGAAGAATGGAGTATGCACACTATATATCACAAATGAAAAGTGGCAGGTTTGCAAGTCTGTGAGCAAGCGACTTGCAAGTGACTTGCCCATGGTTTCTCAGTCTGCTCATTAGGTGTTAACCATTAATGAACAGCTTCAAGACTCCTGCTCTTATCTTTGTTTAGCATTGGAGCCACTAGGCAGCCCTTCCAGTAGATTTCTGCTGGAGTCTGCTGATTTCTGCTGGAGTCCAAGGCTGTGGCTATGGGAGAAACAAGACCCTTTGGGGCTATTGATGCTGTGAACCCCTCCTTCATAGGTTCAGGATATATATGTGTGTAAATAAACCATATTTCACAAAGACACCCCAGTTTCTGCT